AGGAGAAGAAGAAGAAGGAGAAGGAGAAGAAGAAGGAGCAGGAGGAGAAGGAGAAGGAGAAGAAGGAGAAGGAGAAGGAGAAGAAGGAGAAGGAGAAGGAGAAGGAGGAGAAGGAGAAGGAGAAGGAGAAGAAGGAGAAGGAGAAGGAGAAGAAGGAGAAGGAGAAGAAGAAGGAGAAGAAGGAGAAGGAGAAGGAGGAGAAGGAGAAGGAGGAGAAGAAGAAGGAGAAGAAGGAGAAGGAGAAGGAGAAGGAGAAGAAGAAGGAGAAGAAGAAGAAGAAGAAGGAGAAGAAGAAGAAGAAGAAGAAGAAGAAGAAGAAGAAGAAGAAGAACAACAACAACAACAACAACAACAACAACAACAACACAAGCAAGAACCGATGTCACTCCTCCAACAACTTGCCACCATCTTCCACCTCCAGCATCTCTCCCAACATATTATTATCATTATTATTGCCGGTCACTCAAGAAGTCCACCATAGCCATCCTACACCACCTCCTTCATCTAGGTCCCAAAGGTGGCTATGGTGGACCATCCGACCCCAGCTCCGATGTTCAAAGGACAACGCAAGGCTACTATGCCTCTCCTACTGCAATCACCATGCCACATTCAATCCCCGGAGTCTACCTTCCAAGTACAACCACACTTGGGGCCTTGCCGGTGCAGCGCCAACCAAGAAGATGAAGATGCCGACCACCATAGCCAAGGTAAGGTCCCTTTCTTCAATCTCCTCCTCCTCCTTCCTCCTTCTCCCTCACTTCTTGACCATAGCCATGTCTTCTCCTTCCTCCACCTTGGCCACCTCCACCATAGCCGAGGTGGGGGCCAAGCTCCGCCTCCTTCCTCCAACCAGCGCCTCACCCAACTGGTGAGCGCCTCCAGCAGCCTCACGGCTTGCAACTGGTCAAGTGAAGCGGAGGGCCTGGTTACCTCTTCACTTATAGTGCAGCCGCACACCACTATGGGCAGGTTACCCGGCCTGCAAGCCTGCTGGTTGCCTCCCCACATTTGGCGGGAACATTCTGGCAGTCTGATATCCTACTTTGCAGGCCCTAGAGTTGGCCTACTGGACTGGCACCTACCCCTAAGTCTACTGGACTCTAAAATGCTGGCACCTCATACTCAAAGGTACTACGGTACTACCTTTATGTCTTTTTCTGCTACTCTACCGGCTACTTCCTGATTTTGGCCTCGGTGGCCTCTTTCCACCTACCCTTACCTGCTGCAATCCCAACCACACACGGCCACA